TCCATACGAAAATTATAATAACCTCTTCGTCAGGTAATACAGCAGTAATCCCTACAGTAGTCGCTCGATGAAGAGTGGTGGGGGAGGAGGAGGAGGAGGTGAAGGAGGAGGATGAGGATAAGAAGGAAGAGGAAGAAGTGAATATGATTATGATGATGATGACGATGACGATGACGACGATGACGACGGATGATGATGACGATGATGACGATGACGACGATGACGACGATGATGACGATGATGACGATGATGACGATGATGAAGATGATGTAGATAAAGACGAGGATGAAGAAAAATCTTTGAAAGGGGGAGGAGTATATCGTTGAGCGCAGCCGAAGCGCGCTATTGGCCTTACCAATAAAAATTCGTAAAGTCGAAATGTAGTTGCGCGGCGGCGAGCGCGAGGATAATAATACACGGAGTATAGGCCGCGTGCGTCTTTTAAGGTCTTGAAATTCCAGAAGCGCGCCGCCGTGCCACCTCGTCGCTGTCCCCGACCAGTTGTAGCGGCAGCTTCTGGCTTTTATCTCTCTTTGCTCTCGCGGCGCTCGCTGTCGGTGGAACTAAGTCATTGGCTATTTATTGCGTGTCGAGGCGACACGTTTAATGAAACTCGAGGCGGCCACGCGATCATTTTTATTTCGGCGACTGTCCCACGTACGCTCTAACTGAAAATTAGCCGGTACGTCTCGCTCCCTTTCTCCCGCCCTCTTTTTTTTTTTTTCTGTTTTTTCTTGTTGTTTCTTTTTTGCTTGCTTTTTCGTTTGTTTTTTGCTTTTTATTTTTTTGGGTTTTTTTTTTTTTTATTTTTTTTTTTTGTTGGTTTCTTTTTTTATTCCCCGTACGCCTCCAGCGCCTTTACTCGCGACACAAGAAGATGAGGAGTTGAATGCAGATGAGAATGAAGAAAAAGAAGAAGGAGAAGGAGAAGGAGAAGGAGAAGGAGAAGGAGAAGAAGAAGAAGAAGAAGAAGGAGAAGAAGAAGAAGAAGAAGAAGGAGAAGAAGAAGAAGAAGAAGAAGGAGAAGAAGAAGAAGAAGAAGAAGGAGAAGAAGAAGAAGAAGAAGAAGGAGAAGAAGAAGAAGAAGAAGAAGGAGAAGAAGAAGAAGAAGAAGAAGGAGAAGAAGAAGAAGAAGAAGAAGGAGAAGAAGAAGAAGAAGAAGAAGGAGAAGAAGAAGAAGAAGAAGAAGGAGAAGAAGAAGAAGAAGAAGAAGGAGAAGAAGAAGAAGAAGAAGAAGGAGAAGAAGAAGAAGAAGAAGAAGGAGAAGAAGAAGAAGAAGAAGAAGGAGAAGAAGAAGAAGAAGAAGAAGGAGAAGAAGAAGAAGAAGAAGAAGGAGAAGAAGAAGAAGAAGAAGAAGGAGAAGAAGAAGAAGAAGAAGAAGGAGAAGAAGAAGAAGAAGAAGAAGGAGAAGAAGAAGAAGAAGAAGAAGGAGAAGAAGAAGAAGAAGAAGAAGGAGAAGAAGAAGAAGAAGAAGAAGGAGAAGAAGAAGAAGAAGAAGAAGGAGAAGAAGAAGAAGAATGGATTTACGGCAGTCTTGACGATGATGAGGTTACAATGGCGCGAGATGAATAATTAATCGATCCCTCCCCTACTAGACCCGCACAACTATTTATATAAATAATTGTATTTATCTCGGGCAGACTAAATCGAAATCCGTGTAATTTCATTAGGGCCGCTTTGTCTAATTAGCGCTGGAGATAATTTTTAATTACTTTTGTTGATTAGATTATTGTTAATTTACGGCATTATTATAAGGTGTAATTTTGGTACGCAATGCGCATGATCTGATTGGCGCCAGTGCAAAAGACAGGTAATGAGTGCTCAATATTAAAAGGGTATTTGATTTATATATTTTATTACGCGTGTAGAGGAGTTACTCATACCGAATAATAATTATACTAGAAATATATGCTTTATTAAAGGATGTTCTATCGGATTTTAACAATGTTTGGCTGTTAGCGTTGCCATCACTTCCTGATCAAACTGGAATTCCAATTTCACTATTCAGTTGCTAAATTATAGGCTTTTTGAGTCGTAGATGCAATATAAATCGCTCGCTTTAGTCACACGTCGGGCGAGCGTGCGCCAATCTATTTATTTCTTTAATTGTGTGTAAATTTTATTGACCGGAAGGATACCGAATGTATAAGATTATAAATAATTCATCGAACGTTCAATTTAATTTGCTTTCTACTTATTACGATTGAGTAAAGCCTTTCAAATTTTAGCCCCTTAATCTTAAACAAAAGGGCTTTATTGCTTCGATCCGCTCCTTCGTCCTATACATATGCGAATATGCAAGGATCACAATATCGCGTGAAAGTGATACAATTGGAAAGTGCGATCGGACGACTAAATTGCGAATGAGAACTTGCAGAAAAATTTATAGTTTCCGCGTGAAAAAATGAGATAAATTGCCATTAACGTGGTAGTCGACGAGATTTACCAGCCAATGAATAGGCGAAAGAGTAGAGGGAAAAGATGTGTCGTAAAGCCGCTCCACTCGTTTTCCCGCATAATGCGCACGTCGAGGTACAGAGCCCTCGGATCTCTCGAGACAAATTCTCGTCTGCTTATTATCGATGTTTCATCGTTGATAATGATAAATTTCGTACATTAGTGCGGGTGTGTGGAGGGGTATTGATGAGGGAGTGGGAAGGGAGCAAAAGCAAGAGCCGCGATATCGCGTGTCAATCGCGTGCCGGGAATAAAAACGAAGGGTCATCGTTTATCGATTGCCATCGCCTTTTCTATACGGTGGTGCCTCCTGCCCGTCGATGGAAGACAATTGCTATACGTGTATAAGCGCGTACGCGGAGAGAGAAAAGATATCTCAAGTCCCGGGCTGTTATTATATACGAACCGATTGGAGGCCGAACGCGGTTTTCTTTGCCGGCTGCCGCGCTGCTCCGTACCTACGTACCTTTGGTATTCTCTATCTCTATCGTTATCTCTCTCTCTCTCTCTCTCTCTCTCTCTTCCTTTTCTATTCCTCTCCCTCTCCCTCTCTCATTCTCTCTCAGTCTCGCTTTGTGCATGCACACGTGTGCGGGTATCGCGCGTCAAGAAGTTAAAGTTCGCCGAGTCGTTTACAGCGAATACTAACGGCCGCAGTCGTGGGGATGAGATGAGGGATGGGGGCTGTGCATCCGTTACGACACTTAATTGTAATAGTCAATGAACGTGCAATTACGGGGCGAGACTCGTGGAAAACGTTGATACGCGATTTTAGCAGTGAAACCCAGAGTACGAATGAAATGCCGATGTCGAGTTTTTCCTCTTTGTCCATCTTCATCCTCCAAGCAAAGATTTCCTGAGTATAAATACGGTTTGTCTCCCGTTAGTATGAGAAAATTTGATGTTTATTTAAAGCGACCAACCTGAGCTAATTTTAGTAACGCGCAAACGCGAAAATTTTGTAATTAAAAGTAATTGGTGCAAAATTTATTATTAAAACACATGCGATAAGCAACTTGGAAAACAAATAATTTACAAATAAATCCTTCTCCTTTTTTCTCTACCAAATAAACCTTTCTAATCGAATAAATTATACATATTTACCCATTACATGAACAATGCACGCAAAGAGAAATGTTCTTGTAAGACTGTTTGTACTTGTTTACTAACGAATACTACGAATACTCGGCGACAATACTACATTTATTATATAAAACTAAACTATTCCTATTATAAAATGCATATTAGAAATTTTAATTGTAATCGTGCAAAAGTATATTTTTTTGTACTTGTAAAGTTGCGCGATTAAAGGCACAATTAAACAGCTAAATTTTATTTACAATTTTTCGTCACTAAAAGAAGAGAAAAGAAAAACAAAAGAAAATTGAAGAAAATTTTAGAAAATAGACAATCGTACGATCTCGCGACTAACGATAAAAGTTTGTTATCGGACCTTGAATTTAGATGAATAGCTTATCAGTTTTGATAAATAGAGTCCCTTGCAATCACACGTGACTGTAAGAATCACAGACATTTATGCCAGATGGAATAATTTATCACTGCCAAACCAAAAGCATTCGAGTGACTTAACTTTCCACATTCGTTTCTTTACGGTTGAATCAATTTTATTTTAATTGAAAAACTCGAAGCAATTGTAATGAAAATTACAGATATTTGTTTTTCCCTTTAAATTTCTTTTATATATATATATATATATATATATATATATATATATATATATATAGTTAAATATCTACGAAATCAATCACTAATTTGAATCACTATTTTATAAAGGATTATCATGGAATCGAACACTAACTTACAAATGACTATATTTTAAATAAAAACCATTACGTTTTGCTTGAAAAATGCGTGAATAAATTCATAGATATCACTAAAATAAATTTACCTCCATATCTTAATAAGTTTGTCTCTTTTCATCTTACTCTCTCTCTCTCTCTCTCTCTCTCTCTCTCTCTTTCTCTTATTTACCCGGTGATATAAATATATGAAAATGATTTTATCCAAGTGTCTGAAGATGCGTTATTACCTCTCAGCCTTTACGCTAATATAGTCCAATAATTATTTCCTCAACCAAGCAGCCCTGAAAGAAATTTCTTATTCTCAAAACTACCAAACCCACTTTTATGCATCGACAACAACAAGCATTTATTGATTTTTCATACCGTTTGCCGATCGCGCCAACTCGCTAAAAGTGCTCGCTCAATACTTTCATCGGTACTGATCGATAAGATTTTCACGATTAAATACATCTCTGAGCACTCAGCCTCGCTCCATACATCCAATAAACGCATTAATACAATCACGCACAGACGGCCATTTAAATATTATACGACACTGGTTGCCGACCATTATTTTAAATCTGAATCGTTACCTCTCCTCTTCCTACCTCTCGTCGTCAAATCTCCTCGCACGTGATCGCGGCCTACGCAAACTGCGAATCCTGATAATGGTTCCGATAAAGTCTCGATCGTCTACAATACGATCGAGAGATGCGAAAGGGAAAAAAAAACGAAGCTTACCATGTTGATGCAACTTGCCGCCACCGACGGCTTGCTGCTCCCTGCCGTGCCTCGACTGCTGATAACTGTGATATCGGTGAAGATTCTGCGTCGATAGACTCGTTTGCTGCTGTTGCTGTTGCTGTTGTTGCTGTTGCTGTTGCTGTTGCTGTTGCTGCTGCTGCTGTTGGCGCGAGTCCCTGGCCATTATCGCGGCGATGCTAAAGTCCGTGGCGCACTGCCTGCTCGAGTTGGAGCAGTTATTGTTAAGGTTGTTGAGGAGGCTGCTGTTGGGCGAGGGACTCGAGCTGTCCGTTTGCTCGTCTCCGGGCGTCGTCACGGGCGTCTTGGCGGTGCCGGCGGCCGCCGCCACGGACGCGGCTGTCTCGGCCGCCGCCTGCATCTTGCCCGCGAGGAGAACCCGAGACGACGACGAGTCCTCCTCGTCCTCCTCGCTCGGTGATCCAGCGCCGAACGCGGACAGGGTCAGGCCGTTTCGCTTCCTACCGGCGAGGGCGCGCGACTCCAGCAACATCACACCTCGCCTGTGTCGGCTCGCCGGTGTCCCTCGTTGGCCTTCCCCGTTGGCCGCTTAGCCGCCTCCAGATGTCCTCCTCCCGTCTTATCTTCCTCGAGCCGAACGCTCGTCCTTCGAGCTGGGCCTAGAGCACGCCTGATCATTAAGTCCTGCGCGACCTCATGGCCATCGCGAGGACATTGAGGAGCGGCTCAATGAAAGCCCTTGACAAGGAATCTCGATGGCTCCTTCATCGACGGCCTCAGCCCAGAGTTCAGCCCGAGTAGAAGCGCTCACGCTCGGACCGAGTCGGCTATCGTCGCAATGGGACCGACAATGCGCTCCGCGATCCGAATCTTCATCGCGCACATGTGTTGATGTGTGGTCCGCCTCGAGGTTCGACAGCTCGCGACTCGCGGAAGAACTTGGTATGTCCGTGGTGCACTCGCGTTCGACGATCAGAGGCCCGGCCGACGACTGCCAAAACTCACTTGTCGTCGTCTGTCGCGTCTGGCCGGCTCACGCGATATCCACTGGCGAAGTATTATCTCTGACTCGAGCGCGCGAGCTCCGAAGAAAGGAGAGGAGAGAAGAAGAAGGTGGCGGCGGTGGCGGCGGTGGCGGCGGCGGCTGCGGCGGCGGTGGCGACTACGGCGGCGACGATTGCCCCGACGATTTGAAAAATCGCGCGGGCGGGCGAGAGGCGGAAAGAGGAAAAGACGACAGCCGAAGAAAAGAAGGGAGGGAAGCCAGGAGGAGACTATTAGTGTGCGTGTGTGTTTGCACGCGTGTCCGTGCGCGCGAGTAAGAAAGAGAGTGAGAGCGAGCGAGAGAGTAGGTGAGTAAGTAATAGCGAAGGAGAGAGGGATAGAGGTAATTTAGAGGGTTGGAGGGTGGGATTCAGAGAGTAGAGAGAGAGAGAGAGAGAGAGAGAGACACGCAGAACGGCGTAAAGGCCGAGAAGAACGGCTAGCCGCTGCCTGCTTCGCTGCTGCGCTCCGCTGCTTGTGTGTATAAACGACAGACCGGTTGCCTGACAGACTGACTGACCCTCGGCAGCACTGCCTTAACGCGGGATGGCTCTTGCTACTGCCCTGCCCCCTCCCCACCCCTCCCACCAAGAACTCGACGAAACTCGCGCTCGCTCTCTCACTTACCCACACACTCTCTCTCTCTCTCTCTCGCTCTCTCTACTCTCTCTGCTCTCTCTCTCTCTCTCTCTCTCTCTCTCTCTCTCTCTACAATCGACTTCCCACTCGCGTTCTCTCCTTCTCAAGCTCGGGCACTTGTGTATGTGTAGCGCTCGAGCGGCAGAGGGCGACGAAAGGAGGGGGCGGTCCTCATATCGGCTCCGCCCCACCCCCCGACTAAACCATTGGTTCTGGTAAGACTGTGACGCTGGGCTCACGAGCACCCGACTCCGCCCTACTCGACTATTGTTACTACTGGCTCGCCGCAACTGCCGTACGCCTGCGCGAACGCAAGCTGTATCCACTACCACAATTACAATCACTACCACCACCACCACCACCGCCACCACCACCGCCACCGCCACCGCCACCGCTACCACCGCCACCACCACACCACCACCACCAGCGCTACCACCACCACTACCGCTACACTACCGCCATGCGGTAACAACACACTGCTACTGCGACTACAACTACTACCACTATTACTACTATCTCTACTACTGCAACTACTACTAGCGCTACTACTACTACTATCATTTTCACTATCGCTACCGCTGTTACTAAAACTACAATAGCTAATACTATTAATGCCAGCGTTAGTACTAAACTTACTACTACGCAAAGCGGATAGATACGTACGTGAGACTCTGTGCTTACATGGCTATTTAAGCCCGCATTAGAGTATGTATGAGTGAGCCCGTAATGCATAACGTGCATGTGCGTAGCACGAGGGAAAACGTAAAAGCTTTCAACGTGCGTGAGTTTGCGCGTGTGTGTGCGCGATTGGATTGAGTGAGAGATGGAGTGGAAGAGAAGGAGATAGAGAGAGACAGAGACTGAGCTATAGGGGAGAGAGAGAGAGAGAGAGAGAGAGAGAGAGAGAGAGAGAACTGGGCAGGTGTCTACGTGTTACGCTCTCGTACGCGCCATCTACGGCAGAGCAGCTGCCATTTTTTCTCTTGATGGGAGAGGGTGGGGGAGCAATTGCTGACAGGGACCACTTTCCCTTCGGTGGCCCGCAGCGACACCCAAGCCGTGCGCCAAGCATGAGCCCGAGTAGCAATTTATTGTTTTACCAGCAAACTTTGCCAAGTGTGCTCCTATTTGGTGGGGATGGAAGAAAGAGGGAGGAGAGTTTACATATATCTTTCTCTGTCTCTCTGTCTGTCTGTCTCTCTCTCTCTCTCTCTCTCTCTCTCTCTCTCTCTCTCTCTCTCTCTAACCATTCCTTCCTCTGTATCCGTATCTGACTGTCCCTCGCACTCTCCCTATGCTGGATCGCGATTGTGTGGTGGGATAAGAAGAAAGCGGAGGGGATGAACGCGTCTTCGCTCCTTTTATTCTTTTTCATTTTATTTATGCACCGACGGCTCTTATTCCTTTCTTTTCCTACCCTTTTCTTTTGTTCACATTTTTTTTTTCTTGGCTCTGCCGCTTTTACTGCTGCTCCCGCTACCGTGCAGAGGCTACGTCCTTCGTTTTCAGGAAAAACGACGAAAGCCGTAAAAGACACGAGGACTGTCTGGGTAATTACTTGGGCCTTAAATATGTTAACGATTGATATTTTTCTCTTTTAATTCCTATTTTTTTTCTAATCCTATTTTATATAAGCGAGCATAATTCCTATCCGTTTCCAATTCCGACGCTTTTTCCTGACCAATATCTCGTTCACTATAGAAGCGATTACTCTTTATAAATAATAAATGGCAGGCCAACAATGTTTATTTGCAAGTACCAACGATAAATTGTAATTATTTGCGTATTGTAAAGTTTTTTATTTTATGAACTCTAGATTACAATATGAGAGCACTTTTACTTTACATTGCGTATAGGCTCTAATCGAAGAAGCTAATTTCTGATTAAAAATAATTGGTTTTCTTAACATTGATATTCGAAAAGTATTAACTGGATATAAATAAATGTAGTAAAAGCATCGACTTATTGTAAATAAAAATAACTGGTTATAACGTGAGACTGTGCAAATGTTCTACGTCGAGTATATAAAAATAATTATAATAATATCACATAATCTTTCTCCGCGCCTAACAACATTGCACACATAATTAATTCAGACATTTTTATTTAAAATCAACCCTGGCATCGGATGCTATACGTCATCGTCGGTTTAAATCATCATTTTAAATCAATGCCTATCGAATCAAGCGTGTAGTATTATTTTCATTATCAATTGATGATTATCCGGCTATTGATATCCGGCTTTAAAATCCTATTGATATTGCATTAAAAATATCATTCGATTCGTATTATAACAACTTTATAACATTCTTATTGCCTAACTAGGCATTAAAAAAAAAAAAAAATAATAATAAAAACAAAAAAACAAAAAACAAAAAAAAATAAACGAAAACCAGAAATAAATGAATAAAAATACAGAAACAAAACAAAAACAAAACAAAAATAAAACTACAAAAAAAAAAAAATTATTAATAATGGTGGCTTCGCGAAGAATAACAATTTTCTTCTCGTGCTTTTTAAAAACGGTGTTATTTCAGTAAACGCGCGTGCCCTGAGTATAAACATTATAACACATGCAGACCCTCGATTTATAAAGCCAGCCGAAAGTTCTTTTTTTAGTCCTCGGCATGTGTGCATTTGATAAAGTATAGATAGAGATACGTATAAGTTCATTATATAGTAAATCAAACCTTAAATTGGTTTGTAATGCCGAGTAGATACGGGCATCTTTAAATAAAAAAAAATTGTATTAATAATGATCTGCGTGTGCTTTCAAACGACTCTCGAAGAAAAAGGTTTTACGAATTAGATATCAGTTATTTATGTTCGTGCGAACGAAATTGAGAAAAGATATATATTTAATAGACTTTGGCATTTAGTACTTAAGATATGCTATTTAAGTTCAAATTCATTATGACTGATTAATGCTGAAAATGTAGTATTGCAGGCTAAAATTGATGTTATACTTGACATTTTTCCCAAAGATTTATAACCATTACACATTTTTTTTATTCTTTGTCTAATATACATAATTCCGCGCAACTATAATTGGCTACAATTTTTCATTGATTACATTACGATATCTTATGATTATAGTGTATACAAGGGAGGTACAATAATAGTTTATTCAAATTCTCCTTTTCAGCCATTTTTCTCTGCAATGCAATGCAAGTTTGATGAGAAAAATATATTTGTATTCTGTAATAATATCAATTTCTCAAACAGTATCCATTCTTTTCAAATAATATCATGTAAATAGCTTTCATATCACTAATACTACAATGAATCATCACTGGGATAATTATATTCCATCTATTTTCTTTTTCTCTATTCTTTACATTTCCATTTTCCATTCGTTTTTTCTTACCATAGTCACTTTTCCGCAATCGCTCCAAATAATACGAGCATTAGACGCTAATAGGTGAGTGGGCGTAAAGTATTTCAAGGATTACTCGCCGCAATAAGCCGTTCGATAACTATGTAAGCCAATAAAACGTAAGGTCACTCGCTCGTTATTATCTAAAATTTATGTCAATCGCCCTAACGACGCGCGCCACCTCCATTACATAAATGCATAACGTTTAATTAAATGAACCGCCGCTCTTCGATTCACTCTATTGCGGACGAATTATTTATAAAAAAAGGTTCGGCGCTTCGACGGATATTGGAATATCAAATATGACGAAGCGCATACTCGCTCATTGCCCTCGTGAATAGCATATTTCCAAATTGTATGCGAGTCAAATAGTTTTTACAAGTTATTAGAAATTTTACTCACTCATGCATTTGCGTGCATTAGTGGTAAATATAATTGCACCAATTCATTATAAACTGTACTACTAATAGCACCTAGTTACCACATCCCGACTTATTTGTACAAAGTCGATTTTTACAAAACCAAAACAATTTGCTACAAAGGCAATAATCAATAGGAATCTTTTCTTTTATACCCATGTAAATTGATCGCCGATTGTTTCCTTTTTGCAATTGAAACAAAAAACCAAAGGAAATAACAATGGAAAAAACATTAATCATTGCATTAGATATGGAATTAAACAAAAAAAAAAAAAAAAAACTACAAAAGAAAGAAGGAATAACGAATTTTAAGGCTAACGAATATTAAAGCTGTCGCTTCAATAAAAATATCGTGCATGTAAAAAAAAAAAAAAAAAAAAAAAAACTGATTAAATATTTTGAAACTATATAGAAAAAGTCATTTTATGTTGAAACGAATAAACCTGTTAAAAACACTTATTTGATTCAAACGGGATAATACTGCAATATGCCATAAAAGAGCAGTCGAGCCACGAATACCTTTAAAAATATTTAATTATATAAAACGTTGAATGCATATCTAAATGCAACTTTAAAAAGGTTGTATGTTTTTAATGAAAATATTCCATGCAAAGAATTTTTTTTACTTCC